TCGGCGTTTAGGTGCGGATAACGACATTAGAAAAAATCATTATTAAATAAGTATTATTATATATATTTAATAATAATTTTGTATTTTTAATTTTAATTAAGTAAATTAATTTAAATTTAATTCATTTTTAAGTTCGAGTTTGGAACTTGGCTCGTTTATTTAATTGAGCGACAGCTCGGTTCAACAAATATTTAACTGAGCTAGCTTGAGTTCGATTTTATGAAGCTCCGAACTAAAAACCTTGCCTCAAGCTCCGGAGTTCGAGCTAATCTTTAATAAACGAGCTTAAACATTGAAAATTTTGATTCGGTTCGTTTGCAACCTAGTTGGGTTTCAAGGAAGAATGCATAGGAATTTTTCAAAACATTATTTTTCTTGCATGGTTCCTAGAGAAAAATGAATAGACACAAGCTAAAACACTTTGGTATTGTTTTATTTTAATGTTTTGTATTCTCGAAAATAGAAAAAACGAAAACGGACAATTTTTTTTTTTTTTTTGAAGTATACTTTTTATAAGAAACTTTAATGTTGTTATTTGAAATTTTCAAAACTGTTTTTGCATAATAGTAAAAATGATTAGTTTTATTTTTGAAATCATGAAAAATAAACGCCGTCCAATGTCCTACCCTAACGGTACTATGACGTCACTATGATATTTAGCGACGCTTTTGAAACGCCGTCATAGATATTTATACATTTTAAAAATCCAACCGTTGGGGCTGGGATATAGGGACGTTTAAAAAACGCTGCCATAGCCTTTTCTTTTCTTTTTAATTGTGCTAAGCTTGACATTTAAATATAGCGATAGATATTTATACCTGTCATAAACGATTATTAAGAACTAATAATTGATGTATATTAAATTAATAAATAAACTAAAGCTTGAAAGCAAAATTCATGTTCAAATTAAAAATTAAAAAAAAAATGCATTGCATACCCAAGAATAGAAACAATTCATGTTCAAATTTTAAATACATCAATTAAAATCAAAGTCGTCTTTGTTCGCTCCCACAACCTTATCCACTATCTTTCCTTCTTTCAGGATCACAAAAGTCGTATAGCCTCTACTTCCATTTCAATTCACCCCTAGCTCTGAGTTCTGCACAAGGTAGCACACTTGAGAATATAATTTTATAACAAAGGTTGAGTTATAAACTCAAAGTTCACGAGTTTAAGAAATGCGATAACGTCATTGATTGTACGAACTTATGAAAAATAAAAAAGAATAGAGCATCACCAGCTTTATATTGCGCGATATCACCAACAATAGGAGCTGAATTATGCTTGTATATCACAAGATCAAGTAACAAGCGAGCCCTATGCAAATAGTCAAACTACATGCCAAAAGTAGTGAGTACGTAAAAACATCACACATTATAAAATTAGTCTTCATAAAACATAAGATACTGATAAGTGGACAGTTGGGTATAAATGTAAGTACCTTGATTACACCCGAAGGAAAAGGTTTCTCTTACATATATTTGATGACGAAAAGACCACAATCATAGCTATAGGAATGAGTGTAGTTGTAACAATATAGTCAACGAACTTAGAGATTATAACATTAATGCTTATTTAAAAATTAAGAAAGATAATGTAGTGTATTACCTGTTGTCTTAGCGTGGCATGTCTTCCAACCATTGAAATGCAAACAAACTAACATCTTGAACATAATCTTCTCCATGCGCATATTGAAGCAGCTTATGCAATGATTGTACCTGTTGGTGGTAGGTAGTAAGGTACATAGATCAAGAAACAAAAAAGTGGATACAAGTGGTATCATAATGGTTATTCTATTACCAATAATGTAGCTTGATTTTTTCGATCCTCATCGGTGTCAATATATCTGCTGGAGTTGAATAGATAGGCAACCCGTTTTTCCATGTTTACATTCAAGCACAACCAGTGGTTTTCCCTATGGTTGAAGGGGATGTAAATCTACAAATATAACGTTGAATGTACATGCAAAAAATAAATAAATACATAACATGGATCAAATGTTATTGTGCATGGTAAATTTGGAAATTGGGTAATAGTAGTATTTTATCATGTTACCTCCTCACAAGCATGAAGGGGGCCAGTGTATCTGTAAATTCCAAAATAATCTTCTACTATATCTTTCATTGTGTCATCAGAAGGTTGACACAAAATCTTTTGCTGCATATTCAATTTTAACATATAAATAACTTGTGCCTAAATAAAAAAAGTCTTTAGGTATGGCTAATACTTACCGATACATGGGTCGGAAAGTACCAAACCTTGTGATCCTTATTTGGAAACTTTTTCCTTTGTTTATTTGTCAATTTCACAACAATGAGATTTATAATCTGCAGTGCAAAATATATGAAATTTATGAATAGGCAAAGTAAAGTAACTTGGATGATGGAATGGTAGCAAATAAAATAGGAGAAGGAGAAAAGTCTTACACATGAGGGTATCCACTGATATGGTTTCAAGGACCACAATTCCTTCAGCGTTGCAGATTGTGCTTCCACATAGTGCAGTTTCATCCGTACAAGATATTCCCTAGCACATGGATAACTATGTGAGTTAGAAGGTATAATACTTCATACATAACAAGTTAAAGGTAGTCAAATTGTACTCTTCTGAAAGAGATTCATCAAATGCATATCGTAGAACGAGACTATCATAGTCATTTAATGGGTCTGGCAAAGGCACGGATGACTTGTAAAGGTATTGAGAAGAATAGTGCATAAAACAAATCAAGCTTAGTTAGTGTATGTTCATGAAGATGGAGTTGGCACAAAATAACCACATATACAAAAGATACTATAATAATTAGTTCCAAACCTTTGGGATTTCAGGAACAACATTACCCCCAAGTTGATCAAGTAAATTATCAAATAGCTGATACAAGTAAAAGAAAAGTAAGAAACAAACACTATTTGTTACACATATATCAAATATGTTTTGAGACACAATCATTTAGTTTACTTGATCGAGATTGTCATGAATATTATTGTCAATGTTGTTGTCAGTTGACGATGGCTTCAACTGTGGTCTTTTCTTCATTACATCAAATTTCACAAAAGGTGTACGCAACCACTGACTGGCTTTGCAATTCTGGGTCCCTCGAGTCTGAGGACCACGAACAACACTACATGATGATGACATTGTTACAGCATTCACTTCAACTGCCTTTGTATCACTCTTTTTTGCGCGCGATTGCCCCTTTTGTGGAATAGGAAGTTGTTCATTATTTAATGCTTTCCCACCAACCAATTTGGCTCGTTTCTTTGCAACTACCTTTGCATTTGGTGGTGTGAGGATTGGTTTTGTTTTTCTCAAACGCAAAGTTTCCATTGGTTCTTTGTCATTCATATTCCTTATCTCATCCTCATCTACAAACTTCGGGGAATTGGCTGCAACCTTTTCGATACCACTATCATCGAGACCAACCATTTCAATGTCAATTCGATGCTCCTCATGTAGTTTGCTTGGTGGTGTTTTAACATGTCCACCATCAAATGGAATGCGTCATTCTAACAACTCAAGAATTTGACTAACTTGGTTCTCCATTTTGACCAGTCGCTGCTCTGCAAGAAGTTTGCTTGGCAGTGTTTTAACTTGTTCTCCATCAACTGGCATGTGTTTTTCTAACAGCTCAAGAATTTTTTCAACTTGATTCTCCACTTTGGTTAGACGCTTCTCATCCTCATCTTGCCTTGTGTCCTTGTGGCCTTGGACCAAAAGGGCATGAATTTCAATGACTTATTTCTCAACTTTAGCCAATCGGGAGTCATCATTCTTGTCAATTCTTCCCTGGCTAAGAGTTACTGCATTGGACTTTTCAACAATGTTAGGCAAAGCCACCTATTCACACATATACAATAACTTGTTAATGTCACAGGTGTAATGTAAATTGAGCTATAATTATAAAAAGTCATGCGTTGTAAATATTTACCTCAACATTTAAATATCCTCCCAAAGCTTTAATTTGATTCAAACCTTGCTTAATTTCTGAATTGCCCCAATAGGATAAGCGAGGAATGGAGTTGGAAGTAGCCACCAACTCCCTTTTGCGAGCAAATTGTTCCAAGTAAAATAACTACATGGGAAAAAAAAAAGAAAAAAAAGAAGTCATTTTAATGTGTGTTAGACAATATGCAATAAAAAATAATAGATGAAATAATTACACATCAAGGGGATGTACCATTAGAACAAGCAAACAGCCGCACATAGCAGACCGCTCTTTAACCTTGGCAATAGCAATGCGGTCGACAAGAAAATCAAGTGTGTGCTTTGCCCAATTGAATTGACTGATGGACTCAACATTTTTAACCATTTGAATGAATGATTGGTGTACGCCTGCCTTTGTGGTGGGGCACAAGAGGGCTCTAATGATTTATAAGACAAATTTCCTTTTAAATTCAGTTCCAGCATCTTTTGTTTCAAGCAGATAAGATTTCAGAGATGTGAATGGAACAAATTTATTCTTCACCGCAAGTTCATCACATAGGTTTCTAATTTCATCTACGGACTCTTTTAACTTCACAGGTAGACCATTGGAAGGTAATCCCATCAACTCATGAACATCTTCTATGGTGAGAAGCATTCGAAGACCGTGGACATTCAATGAATGAGTTGAAGGATTAAAGTTCTGAACTAACCAATGGCACAAGTCATGATCTATGTGCATGCACCTAAGGCTTAGGATGCCATGAAACCCCATATCAGTCACTGCTTGTTGTTGTGCTTTGTCCAACCTTCTAATAATCTTACAAATTGATTTAAGCTCAATCCGGGTTTGAATTTTTACTTTTGGAGGCTTTTGTTGGACCACAGTTTTTAATTGGGCATATTGTTCAGATTGCAGCTTTCCCAGTTGTATATACTTATTTTTTTCTTCTTCAGGAAGTTGATTCCATTTGTCCCCAATATCCTACATTACATGCATAAAACCATATGAACAATTACATACAAGCTTAGAAGTACAAAAGGAATACTACAAACAACAAGAATACGTTGCCCTTACCTTCACGTCTACTTTCATTTGGGCTTTTTTTAACTCCATTGATTGTTCTTGGCTATAAACATATGAAAATGAATATAAGAATTCGTATAATGGAAAATATATAACTACATACAAATAGATATTAACAAAATACCAAAAGAAAATGAATTGAGTGATCAGGCGCTTTGGAGGATCAGTCAGTTTATCCATTAGGCTTCAATCAAAATTCCTTGTAAAGAAAGACAAGAAAAATAAACTCATAATATCTTTGATTAGGAAAAAAAAACAAACAAACAAAAATCTTAAAGGTTATAGTACGTTCATCAAATGCACGACATGCACACATGAATGGATTTGTTTTATAATAATGTAGTTAACAAAGACTATGTTTCCAATGTAAAAAGGAAAGACACTAAAAAAAATTCTAATCATAAACAAAAAATGATACCCCAGTAGCTTAAGTCACATTACCATAAAAAATAGATTAAAGAAGTTAATTTTTTTGGACAAAATTTGTAATTTGGTAAGGAAATTTTTTTGTCGCAAGAAGGAGCCAAATATTTTGGCACCATACGAATTGATAATAAAAACGACATTGTTTTTTATTTTATTTTTGGGACTATTGTAGAAAAAAATAAAAAACGATGTCATGGTTATGTATAGCTCCTTTGCTCCTTCAAGTCTCGCTTTAGGTGTACAGTCAGAAGGTTGAATATCTTTATTAACTGGTTTTACTTGCTTTGGTTTTAGCTATGTTGTGGTTCACTTTCCCATATTTTATCTTGCTAATTTTTTTTTTATTCTCTGCATGGGTTTGGGGATGGCTTGAACCACATAAAGCACTTGAAAATTATAAATGTTTAGGGAAGCAATTTGTTTTTTAGAATACAAAATACAAGAAATTAGAAAATGGGAGAATGATTTGATACAGTTGTATTCAGTAATATACATACACTAACTAAAGATTTGATGCACTAAGGACCCTTGCATACTACTATACCCACTGCCACTCACAATTGAATCTTGGGTTGTGAATAGAGCTTCTCTTGTATTAATGCTATGCTTATTATTTGATTTTATTATTTATATTTATTCTGTCATTGATACTTTAGATTCATAATAAATAATACTAATATATGAGCACTACTACAAAATTGGTTAAAGGTCACAATTTTTAACTTTGACCTTATACTTTTAGTCTTAGTTTTTTTTAATACAAAAACTGTGATATCATAAATATTTTGCTTTTTAATTTGGCCATCACGCATACCATATAATTTAAATATATTGAAGCATAGAGGACCTTGTAGGAAAAAATATGTACCTGTC